GTAGTGAGCTTGCTGTGTGCCCTCATTGCTGCTCTAAGGATCTTGAACTCCACCATTTCATGGTTCCTGCAGCTCAGTCCTTGAGCTTCACATTCCCCACCAGCTCCTCCTTGTTGGTGAGAACAAGGCCCAGCATCACACCTCTCCTTGTTGGCTCCTCTGTCACTTCAAGAAGGAAGCTATTATGAAATATACTGAAGTGTTTTGTTGAGTCAGGGCCTTTATATCTTTCTATACTTTTAGGTCGCTCATCTCATTTTAGGTAAGTGTCTTACCCTTACCTTCCACTTCTACCTTTGCATATATGCATGATAAAAGTCAGATAGTAAGAAAGGTACCACCTACAGCCAAATATAATTGCAGAACAATTAAGGCACCGCTCAGCCTTAACAGCAAAATAAACTTTTCTGGTCCTTGAGGGCTGTTTGAGAACCCTCGACAACAGGGTGAGGTAAGACACTGTGTGCAGCCTCTTACCTCCAGGTGGTGGGAGGGGATTAATCCATCCATTTTGATCTTGAGGTCCTTTCCAACACTAACCATTCTGTGATTCTATGAAATTAAACTGTAAGGACATGTAGGATCTAGGGGCACTTTGCTGCTGAAGACATGCTAGAGGCAGATACCAAAGCCTCTATCTAGAATCTCTATCAGCTGCTACCACTTTGATTTGAGCACTTTCTCTCCTTGTCAAGGGTGGATTCTTTAAATTTATGCTCTGTACAGAGATCCCTGCAGACAGTTCTGTCCTGTGCAGGTGTTAATGCTGACATTAGGCCTGGAGATTTCCTTTGTTGCTCAGCAATACATGCTTTACAATATCTTTCTGACGCAACTATTAAATTAACAGCTTCCTTTAAGTGCCCTGGAGGTTACAGGATGTCAATACATGAAACAAATTTTCTTAATGTCAGCATAGAGCCTTTGTTATCTCTATTAGTCACAGTGCCAAAACCAGAAAGGTGTTTCTGCTTACAGGGGATCCCATCCCCAAACTGCTGTAGCTGGTCAACACCCTTCCACTGACTCCCATGGATTTGGGGTGTAAGCCCTTGAGCATGGAACAGTTTGACCCTCCTGGGTAATGTAGAAATCATATTCGGAAATACTCTGAGTAGAGAGAATTCAATGTGCGTGGGTTTTATTGTGGTTTTTTTCCTGGTGTTTATAGTTATTGAGTGGATTAATACTGGTAAATATTAAACAGGTCATCTGGAAAGGGATAAGCACTCTAGCTTTTGCCAACAAACCACTTAAGCACATGCTTAGAGATAAGCATGCATTATGGTAAATGGAGTTGCTTATGGGCTTGGTGTTTGAGCATATGTTTAGGTTTTCTGGACATGGAGAAACTTATTGCTTGAAATCATCATGTCTATCCTTAATGAATGGAAATCAGATTTTAGCATGAGAATTAGTTTTCATTAAACAAAAAATTAAAAACTACTAGAAGGTAAAGAGGCTGGGATGAAAAAGAAATTATCTTATTTGAACACCATAAAATGGAAAGAACATAATTTCAAGAAACATTCCAAAATTTCTTTCCCATCTTCCAATCTGCTTTAAAACTTGTTTAGGCCCCAGAATTGCCTGGCAGGATTGTCTCGGTGCCTTAGGGAGTGGATTACCAAGCTTGATGTCTCCAGTATTGCTGGCAAGTGCCCTGCTCAGGTCTATCTGGCAGAGGATCATGCTGGAGCAGGAGGCAGGAAGGGCTCTCTGCTTGCTGAACTGGATGGGATAAGGTAAAGACAGGGTTAAAACTTCTCCATGCGATTCTCTAGAGCAATGCCATTCATTAGGAAGCAATGATCTGCATGTAGTGAGCAGTTATTGCACATGCACTTCAGAAATCTTAGTTGGAGCTTAAATATCCAAATTTAGAATTGCAGACCTGCTTTGGATGTTGCAAAACAGCACGTTTAGAGGTACAACTTGCATTAAAGCATATCTGACTTCCTGCCAGGTATACTGCAGGAGTGGGCAAAAGCTGATATGAAGAAAGCTCTTGGGTTAGCGTATGTGCCTTTGTCCTGAAGAGGAAGATAAGTAAAATGGTAAGAAACGTTCTGAATCCTGCTTTTCCCTTGAAGGGCCATTGAAAATTTGCTGTTGTGCTGAAGTGTATCAGCATTAAAACAGAGGGAAGATTTTTCCAGAGAAGTCCAGCACAAACTGAGAGTTCCCACTCAGCTCAGTGGGAAGCTATATAATCCTGGCCCTTTGTTTGGCAAGTGTTTGACTTTTTCATAGGGTGGAGTGTCCCCGGGTGGGGGGCGGGTGGTGCATGCTGGCATTTCCCTGTCAAGAAAAATTGGCATAAAAAGAGGGAAAATAAATTATTATCAGATCTTGGATGTGAATTCTTTTTAACATTAAAAATGGATAAGCTGTGCTCTGGAGAGGAAGGCAGGGAAGGGAAGCTGGGGAAGGGCTGACCCTGTGGTGGGTTGAGAAGCACTCCCATTAAGTGATCTGCAGCATCAGGCTTTTTAACCAACTCATTAAAAGCTTGATTTGCGCTCTGCCTGGTGGAGTGCCTCCTGTTTACCTACCACGGTGATGGAGGAAAGGGACTGCCCTGCTCCCACATGCAAATGAGGATTTATATGGCTAGAGCTGAAACGTTTGGCAAGTGAGTGCCTGAGATTTAAGGTTACCTGTAGGCAGCTGTTGCTTACCCTGTGGGTGTTTTATATGGCTATTTAATTGCATGTTACTCAGTACCAAATAAGTACAACCTACATGAATAACTACAGCAACAAAAATGCTGCTGCCTCTAAGATAAAGGACCTTATTTGAGAGGCACATACTTAGCTGATAATACCATAGGACTTGTGCGCTTTTAAAAGTCTGTACTTTATATCTGATAAAAAGGAAAGAAATGGTCTAACTCTTAAACATAAACCCAAAAGCATTTTAAGGACTTTTTTTCCCCCCCTCCCTTTTCTATTCTTTTCCCAGGTTGCAAAAATAACATCCAGTAATGAGATGAAAACAAGCTGAATAGTTACATTCAGTGGAGGAGGGAAGAGGTAGTTGCAGACAGCTGGAGCATGTCTGGGCCAGTGTCTCAGTTCTTTTCTTTCTGCTAGTTTAGTGCCACTCCAAGAATGCAGACAATGCTGGCTACGACTGTTTCATATTTGATTTCCACACTTAAATCTGTGCTTGTTAAATGAAACCCCATTGTCAGGTTGGCATGCATCCACACTGCCTCCTCAAGTCCCACTTCACAGCTTACTGTCTGTGTTTGGGTGTCCTGCTCATATCCCTTCAGTAAGGATCAGGTATGCAAAGAGTATTTTGCTTTTTTTGTGCTGCTCGTGGCATTGCAATGAAGGCTTTTGGACTTTTCTTGCAACCACATCCATGGATAACCCTCATAAATCTTGGTCTGAGGGCAGACAGAAGTGTCGCAGGGAAGGGATGGGGTTTTGGAACAGCCTCAAGACCAGTAGATCAACTGGGCACTCAGCTGGAGCTGTTCTCTGGGCAAGATACTGCAGGAGAAAATGCTTGGGGAAGCAAAGGCTGATCCTGCAAAGGGTTGGTATCTTGCCCTGCTTGAGGAGAGGATGCATCTGGGGATGCTTTTGGTCTTGGTGGGGTCCATTTTGCTTTGCTGGACTGGGACCAGAGGCTTTGCTGAAGAGGGGCAAGAGAAATGCGATGTATTGGAAGCAAAGCAGTGACTGTGAATAACAAAGGATCATTTAATATTCTCTGTAAAATACTATGGAGGGCATGAAATTTATGAATATTAAAGCTTAGGGGATTACAAAATCCAACAGCTGTCCAGTCCTTTAGACTGCAGACCCTCTTGGCCTTTCTCCCTGCCATAAGCTGGTACTATGGTCTGGTATCTGCTTGTACATCATTTATGCAGAGTGACATACCATTCAGTAAATGCCAGTAATGCCAAAGCAGACAGAGCTCTGCCCAAAGCAGTTCGCAATCTCCTTCAGCATGAGGAGAAGGGATAGAATGGGGCCATTGTACCATGGAGTGTGATGCTGGAGTAGGAGGAAGCACTGGCCATGTTTTGGTTCTTCAGATGCTCTAGAGGAGTCCACTGCTGGGCTGTTGTCATGGGAACACAGTTATTTTGTGGGATTCAAGACTGGCCTCAAACAAAGGTGAAAGCAAAAGAGAAAAAAAGGGATCTGATGCACAGAACATGAGATATTCCTCAGCACAGCAAAATTTGCCCATGTCTGAACCAGCAGTGAGTCCTCCAAGGTGTGTGGGCTAGCAGTATGTCAGGGCTGGGTATTGATGCTGTGCCTCGTGCAGGAGCTGGTCCTTGGGATCTGTCTCCATTCTGGGTCACACAAAGGCCTGTTCCTCCTCCTGTCCGCACCTCTCATCCTCCCACGTTGTCACAGTGCTGTTGCCTAAGGCTCTATTTGGAGCAGAGATATGTTCTGGATGATGATTATTTTTCACATCTCTTTTGCTTTTCAGGTAACAGGTCTCTGTCTGCACAGGTTTCTAATGTTCTCCATGCATTAATGGCAGTGCAGTATTCACAGTCTTAAGGAAGAGCAGAAAGGCAAATCCTCAGGTTCTGCTTTCTGTAATGTCAAAAGCAAATTGTATACTTCCCATAATATTTTGCCAAGCCTTTAAATTCAAAGGCTCAGGCTATGTATGCTAAGGGTGTGTCCCTTTAGTTGAAGTGGCACTGGGATGTAATGGGTACAAAGAGCCAAGTTACCGGTTTATAAAGTGATTTAATGGAATGATGCACTTCCTTCAGGGGTACTACTGAGTGCATTCAAGATCTGTCCTTGCACAGCTGTGCTGCCCTCATGGCTGCCTTTAACAGAATTATTGGTGGCAATCCACCTTCCCTGCCATGACTGATGCTCATGTTCAATTGTCCAAACTGCAGCAGTCTCACAAGAATCACCAAAAAACCAGAGATGCACAGAACACAGCCAAACTCAAGCACAACTCCAGTATTTGCAAGTACTTGCAGGCTGAGGTGGTACCACTCAGGACACTGTGGGCCTTTGCAGAGGATTGGAAAGGTACAGGACTGCATAACCCAGGTATTCTGGTCTGAGCAATTCCAGCAAGTGAGCAGTAGCAGTATGGGCTGAGGAGAGGAGATGCAATGGCAGCAGCAAATTGCAGTGAGGCGCCTGTGATGCTCAGCATGCCAAAGGCAAAACCAGCCTCCCAGTGAAACAGAGACAAAAGCATTTTATCACTGTTCTGACCTGCTGAGAGAATTTTTTTTTAAAAAGTTTAAAACTAAAGAGCTCAGTACTTTTGGATTTATTTTTTTTTTCATTTCCAACTTGGGTAAAAAAGGCCAACTGTTTTTTGTATTCAATCTCCTTTATTCTGTGTCCAAAAATGGATGTGATGGTAAGGAAAATTAGTAGCTTGAATGTTGTGATCTTATTAAAGAAAAATACAGATTTTTTTTTTCAGAGAAGACAAACTCATTAAAACCATATTTTGCTAAAAATACTAGAAGAATAAATTGGAATAGGTATACATATGCAGTTTGTCATATAACATCTAAGTACAGTGGTTGGCCTTTAAAATTTAAACTTCATACTTCAATACAAAGTTCCTCATTATAAAAGGGAAAATGTGATATGAACTGGCAGAACTACTGTGCTGGTGGGATATTTAACGTGCACCCTCTGCAAGCTCTGCACAGCACATTTGATCCATGGTAGTAACAAGAACAGTGCTTTCCCCTTCAAATGCATCGCTCAGATTAACACTGCTGCTCCCCTCCTGCCTCCCACATGTAACACTCTATGGACTCCTGGACCAGTCACCCTGACTGATGGCACCTTGCACTGAGTTACAACTTACCCTGCCCTCAGCAGCTTCACGCAACAGGATTTTGGCACGGTTGAGCTCAGCTCTGGGGTAGGTGGGTGAAAAGCTTTGCTGCTTGAGCCAGTGAAGGCTGTCTTGGTGCTGGGTACTCAGCCCTCAGCACCCACACCCTGGCTTTCACACCTCCTTCTTGTCCAAACACATCCCTGCCCCAGAGGGGCTTGCTATGGAGCCAGCTCCATCCTGTGTGCTAGCTGAGAGGCGTTTCCACATTGGGGGAAGCCTTAGAAGAGCTTTTAGGAATAATTCAGATTTCCTTTGATCCAACAGCTCTGCAGGTAAAGAGCTAATGCTATTAAAGCAAGCAATAACTAGCTGCTGGGCTTGAATCTCTTCAGGAGTGGAAAGGGCTCTTCTCTCCCAGTCTGGAACAGCTGCTCTGTGTTTCTCCCTGGTCCAGTGCACAGAGAATGGTAGTAAAAGGGGTTGTATTGTGCACAGCAGGGGCAGGACCAGGGCCCTGATGTGCACTGAAAGCCAGTTGGGAAGTGGAGGAAAAACTAAAATTTACCTTGTGTGGACTCAGGCATAACAATCGCATCCTCCTTGTGCACAACATGGCCACAGATGATGTTTACTGTTTGTTGCCAAAAGGCCAATAAAAGGTGTTCTGTGCATCTTCTGCATTTGCTCTTGTGCTCTTGAGATACCTTGAGCACTTGGAAGGATGTGACCATCCCCAGCAGGGGACACCCTCCACACCACCCTCCACACTGCCTCTGCTCACAACTGTGCAGCAAATTCAATCAGGATTTTTCCACTGACAAATGGGGAGCAGGGAAGAAACCTAGAACGCTGCAAATGGGAGTGCCTGAAAGAAACCCCAGGCAGTATGGAAAGGAAAGTTATTAAGGTTATTTTAATGTCTGCTTCATGCTGCTTTTGTCCCTCTGGAGAAGGAATGAGTTTGGGGTTGGTTATTCTTCCTAAGTGCTGTCAAAGGCACAGCAGATACTTGTGTTACTCACCAGGTCCTCATCAGGGCAGTGTACGTTTCATCACTGCCCTTATTTCAGAATAAGTTTTGTCTGGGGAGAGTATTTGTGGTAATGATGAGCTGACATACACAGGCACATTTTCATTTAAATACACCAGCAGTAACTCTAGCTAGCATGAGTAATCTTTTTTTTTTTTTCCAATGTAAGCATCTTGGACCCACATGTATCTTTGCTCCTAACTTCAAGCTGGTTGAATGGAAAGAAGGGCTAAAGATGTGCTAAAGGCAAGAGTCTGTGTCCGAGAACACAGAAAACAGCATGATCTGGGCGGTAATTTCTGATGCAATGGAGGAGACTATCAGCACAGATCCAGAACCTTGAGCAATGTTGTCCTGTGGTTTGATTTCTATTCTGGCATAGTAAATGCAGTAAGGCCCAGATTTTTCATGGCACTTTCCATTTTTGATTTAGGGAATTTGAAAAATACTTTTCTTGAGGCTGAGCCTGAAGTTATAATCTTGGCATATCCATACCATTAAATTCCCGTGGATAAAAGCAAAAACATCTGGATTCATGGATGTTGGCTAAATCCACCAGGAAAAAAAAAATAATAAAAAAAGCTTTCAGGGGATCCTAGAGGGTTCTAAGCCAGAATAAATAATACAACAAAATAAGAGTGCTATTAAGAGTAATTGTAATACTGAAGCTGAATTATAAGATGAGGGCCAAGCCCTTTTCACAATCTGCCTTTCTAGCTAAGAGCACTTCAATTTACACTTAACGCACATGTGGCTGATGGAACAAAGAAAAAATTGAAGAAGGATGAAAGCACTGCAGAGATTATTCAGCCTTGCTGGTTTAGCTCCAGGCACATCGTTTAAATGAGTAGATGATCAGCTTCCAGTTTGTTTTAAATTCTCTGGCAAGAAATTTTACGCTCTATCCTGAAGTTGGATGGGATTAAAGCTTTGTGGGGTTTTTTTTGTTTTTTTTTTTAAAGGCTCTACCATTTTGTTTTTTTTCTTAAGGCAGGACTCTGAAAGTGCTCTGCAGGAGACACCTGAGGGCTGGGACTGGAGGGGCAGCCTGGCTGTGTCACCAAGGAGAGCACATCCCTACTCCCAACCCATGGGGACTCTGAGATTGGAGAACAGTTTCTTCTGTTCTCTCTCACCTCGGGAAGCCTGGCTCCTGCCTTGCTGAGGCAGATGCTGTACCCAAGTTCAGCAGCATGCAGAGTCAAGGGAAGTGGCCAAAACTGCTGTCCCCCACATGTTTGCAGCTCCTTTAGCTTTACCCTGTTGTACCAGCACTGCTTGCCTGGTTTAAAGCTGGTGAAAGGGTAATGGTTTGTATTGCTTGCCCCTTGCATCATCTTCTGGCGTTTTCAGGGTTAAGAGCTGCTGAACAGCACATCTTCTTGCCATCCAGCACCACCTGCATAGGTATCCTCCTTCCAGCAGGTCTCCAAAGCTGCCATGAGCACCAGGTTACGTAGCATGTCTTCCACTGCTGTGATGGGGGGAAATACACCCATGGCCAGGTGATTATAGAAAAGTAACTTGTATGCTGCTGAAAATGCCCTTAACAAACCATCCCTCCCCAAACAATGTAGTCAGCATTTCTCATTACCTGTACTCTTTCCACGCAGATCTGCCTTACTGACCTTGCACGTCACCCTTCCCAATTCCCAGAAAGCCTTGGCATCTGCCTGCTCTGTAATCTTCAGCCAGTGCAGCTTGGGGTGAATTCCTTCCTTGTGGAATAAAATCCCTACTGGTTAGTTCTTGTCCTGTCCTCATTTGTTGCCCTCTTCTCCCCTGTCATCTGTACCACAGCCAACCAGTTGAATAGCTCCTAAGGGAGCTGATCTGTTGGAACCACTTCTAGTAGGTCTTCCTCTATGGAGAGACTTTAGATTGTCCTCCTTGGAGACACTTCCTGTGATGTACTGTCAATGGATGATGCTCTTTAAAGACTGCTATTAGGCTCTGAACACATAGGATACATGCCTGGGGCAAGGCAGTACTTGAAGTGTGACTGGAAATACCACTGACGCTTGGTGATGTTTAGGCTGCTTTATGTTCCAGTCAAGGAGTAATCCTGTTTACACTGAAGGAGTGGGAGTTTGATTGGCCTTAAAATAGCCTCAGCACATCTAGGAAATCCGTACAAAGGATGCCTCTGTATTTCTTAGGATGTTATTTTCACCAGATCCCATTACTTACTTTGCCACCACGGTCTGTTGTTTCCCCCACTGTGTATTGCCCAGCACCCACACGTGAGTCTGAACCAAAAGCTGACAGGACCCAAAGCAAAAAATGTAGTGCTGCTTTCCATTAAAGCAAAATAAGGAAATACATCTGCTCGTAAATGTTACAAAATATTTGTTTCAGATTAGCTGCTATGACTGCCATTGTCCATGTTTGCAGTCGTGTTCTTCCACCCAGCTTGAAGGCAACCGAAAGGTCTGCTGAAAGTGCAGGGCTCTACAGGAACAGATAGTTTGAGAAGCTGAGAATGAGAGATGAAGCAGAACTAAAATTAGAATCTCAGATAAGTAAGTATCTGTATCTTCAGTGCTCTGTGGTTTTATTTTGCTCTATACAAAGCACAAATTGGTTTTGCATGGCTGTTTGCAGATTGTACCAACTCAATGAAGGCTTGTGGGGAAAAAAAAAAAAGGCTTTGATGTCTTCAGTAAACAAATCGCGGTGTTAAGATCTTCAGTTCTTGTTAGCATGCTGCAAACAGCTATGTTTGAAGAAAAATAAACATCCCAAAGTTGATGGAAGGATAGGAAAGTCATAAAGTGCTGTAGTGAAATCCTTGGTATGAAGACATCAAAAATGATAGTGCCACAAAGAAGTTTTCTCTTTCCTTTTGGATTAAAAAGAACAAACTGGTTCATGGTTTACCAGCCATGTGGTGGGAATAACATGAGTGTGAAACCTATGACTAAATCATTACCATACAAATCACAAGAATATTATCAAGTCCACTGGAAAACCAAAGGAAGGATTTCCCTGGAGATCTTCACCTCTGACCATTGTGGTGAGAGCGCGAAGACTCACCCTTCCTTCAACGTCTATTTTGACTCAGCTTCTGCAGTGCTTCACCTGCTGCCACTAGTCCAGTAGCCCCTCTTAACCCTTGTAGCTACAGGACCTCATCTCTGAAAACCTCGTTGGTTTTTAGGTTGTGCTATCACCTGGTTTTCATGAGGAAGCACCAGGCATGCATCAAGCTCTCAGTGAGGAGGATGAGGATTTCATGGTCCCATACCTACCTGAGCTTTTACTCTGTAAAGCTTGTCGTACTTGCAACACTTACAACATCCCTTTAGAAATGTAAAAGCTGAGGAAATTAATCAAAGGGAAGAGCTAAACAATGATATCTATTACACCAGCATAATCTTGGGGATCTTAATTTACAATTATACCCTGTTAGCAATCCAAATCAGGTTCAGAATGAGAAAGTTTGGGGTTTTCCCTGTAAAGGGAAATGAAAAATTCACAGGTCATGATAATAATCAATACACCAATATTTACAGCAAACTTAAATCTTATCAAGAGCCTCCAGGGAGCGTCTCACTAGTTTCATGTAATTCCAAGCATTTTTCTGTTTAAAGATAGTTCACAGGAGTTAGGAAATAAATAATTCAGACATAGCTGACTTTTTAAAGTGTCTATAGCATCACTAACGTCTTTCTTTTGATAATGCTTTCGTTCTGCCTACCAAAGCTCCATTCCAAATGGGACTGGTGAGCCAAATGCTCCATCTGAAGAACTAGGTCTTACAAGAAAAAACAGGGAAAAAGGCAAAACTTCCAGGAAAAAAAAGTATAATCCCAAAGGCAGTAAGTATTCCTTTGGTAACTTCATACAAGTTCTTCATTTTCATTGTGAGCCTCTCCCTGCTGGATTCACAGCAAGGATTTTTAGCTAAAGCTGAGGCAGACACTGTTCATAATAAACAGAAGCTCCTTAGAGACTGTAGCCATGGCATGTGAGAGCTGTTTACCTGGCACAATGAAGCACTATTCTGTTTGTCTTCAGATGTTCCTACAGAAACAGAAGGTATTACAGTGTGTAAATAAGGCCCCTTCACCCTCAGGAATATGTTTGAGGGTTTTTTCCAGGCTAGTTGCCCTTTACTTTCAGCTGCAGAAAGCCCATCCTGTGATTTCTGAATTACTCCTTCATGCTGTCTCCCAAGAGGACAGACTGCTTCCCAGTGCAGAGAGACAGAAACTTGCTGACAGCAACTGGGGTTGTTGTTTCCAGTGCTGACCTGCCCATCACAGCATCATGAAACCAGCGTCCTGGTTGCCAGCAGTCTGTGCAGGACATGGACGTGTCCTCCAAAACAGGACCAGCTTCTTCCTGGGGAGAGTTATTGTTGATGTACTGTGGCTGTAGCAAAGAAATTTAGAGGGAGCGGGCTCTAGGTTGTAATTTGAAATCAAGAGAATAGCACAGCTAATGCTGTTGGTGTCTTTGCTCCAAATGGGAAAGATAAGGGCACTGAGAGTTTTGAGAGGCACTTTGGAGGCTGCAGGTCACTCCTAGGATCTGTTCCTGGGCATGGCAGAGGAAAAGCCCTTGATTTCAAAGGGATTAGGGCTGGATGCCTCCCAGTGCTCATCAGACTGGAGCCGTGTTTCTCCCTACCTGCCACAGCAAATATTTTGATTGTAAGAGCCAAAGCAATCGTGTTGTGTACTTTACAAAATGCAATCCCCGAGGCACACTGCTGATAAACATCAAACTCATTTCAGACCTCTGGGCCCCCGCCCTGCTGGAGTGCTGCCAGCAGCCAGGGTGGCATTGGGTACTGCCACGTGCCTCAGTGTACATCCCCATCCTCCTAAAGGAGACTTGAAAAGGATGGTCACGCCTTGAGGTAAACCAGCCTGCACGGTGGTGGCTCCTTGGGCTGCTGTGATGATATCATCCCCTCCACAGAGCAAGGAAAAGCAAAGGGACAAATTTAACAGGTGGTAATTTTACCATTAAACTTACACCTCTGAAGATCCTTTAATACCCAATTGACCCCATCGGGTGGGATTTGGCACTGGACTGATTTATGGCATAGCACAACAGGATGTGTGGAGCATGTTTATTCAAATATCATCATCTCTCTTTACCAAACACTAATCCACTTCTACTTAAATTAAAACACAATTGCAATTTTCTTAAATATGCCTAATCTTCAGTGAAATTAATAATGATGTCTGTTCAGTGTGAAAGTCAGTAAAGTGACATGTGGAAAATTACACATTCTTGACTCAGGAATGTAACTTGGAGGATGACTTCATGTTCCTGAATGAGAAGATCGGCATGCCAGATGCGCCTAATGCCTGACCCCTCTAAAGGCTCTGAAAGATCACACGTAACTTTAAAATGTCATTTTATGCATAGAGAAGAATGAAAGCCCGATAGCTTTATGTTACTTAGCTTCCTGTTTAATTTGGTTAGGGCAGTGTGAATGTCTTAATAACATGAAGCAGAATTCTGATCTCTGGTCTGGCTGCATGTTTCAAATACCCTAATGCCTTTCTCATGGCTGGAGTGCTTAACATCTCTATTTTCTTGCTATTAATAAGAAATTGCATTTCATTTTCCGATGAAGAGCAAGCTTCACAGTGTAGCTGACAACTTTGCAGTCCATGCTTTCAGTCATGCATTGAATTTTACTGAATTGTTTTGTCTGGAGACAAAAGCAACAAATGTGAGTATAGAATTAATACCTTTTTTAAAACTGTAGTTGTATTTTTAAGTCGCAAAAATCAGGTGGTAGTCAGTTTTTCTCACTCTTGACCCTTTGCCTCTGCTATAGACTTGAACATCCTTTCTTCTTCCTTGCCTAAGTGCTCACTCCA